AACAAATTAAAATGCACCTGTACCTTATGCAGCTTTGTTTTATTAAACTAGGATATTAAAACCACAAAACCACCGTTACCACTGTATTCACAGCTAAAGTTAGAAGTTAATTACAAGAAAAGATTATACGGGAATTTAATTATACGAGCTCATTTTGGCGCCCGGGCACCTTCTCCACCCCTTATACCGCTGCTTGATCCTCATGCACTTTCAAAATAGCTACTTGAATGAATAAAACAAACAAACTTAAAATTAAAATTAAGTATATGTGACAAGTTTAATTTTACAGAAAAGTTTTCTATATGTATTATTGCTTATGTACTCATCGTAGTTCCGAGACTGTAGTAAACAAGTATAAAATCTAAATCGAAACAAATAAACAAACATCTTTTGGAAAATAACACTTTAATTGTATTTAATTAAACAAATAACTAATGTTCTTAAAAAGAAGACAAAATTTAACTTTCACAAAAACACACACAAATCCTANCAGCAACGAGTTACTTATCATTTTCGGGAAAATGTATAAACTCAAGGTAAGAATACCAATGTTTTTTATAGAGCCGCCATATTGGTTCCTTAGTTCCCGGGTTACGTATAGATTTCATTATCTGGTTTCATCCAGTATCCACGTTCCTTTGAATAAAAGCCGCGGTATTTCTTTTATAATTTGAAATAAAGTATCTTTTCATTTATAGGTTACTCTGACATATATAATTAAAGGCTAAATAGGTTTCAAAATACTACAAGGATAAATTTATTTAGTTTTGAAATACAGTAGAACCTCGATTATCCGACCTAATTGGGGACTGGGGTTGGTCGGATAATTGAAAAGTTGGATAACCGAAAAGTATGAAAAAATCCATTATTAGTGTAGTATATTATTATATCCCATGTAATTAGTATATTAGTATATCGCTATTAACCTATTTTGCGTTGAATTTTCATCGATGTTAAGCCTAAGAAAAATTTTTTAAAATAATAATCGTCGCTATTGTATCGTTAAAAATTAGAAAATTAAGCTTCGTTTAAATACTGGCTCCCTTTCATGGTCGAATGAGTGTTGCCAGCTAAAACACGTAAAAATAATATTAAAGTAGCCAA